ATATATATTTTAAATGAGCTTTATACAGCAACAACATGTATAATAAATATGAATAAAAACACATCAAACACTAAAAAAAATTACTACAAAATGAATGCGTCTATTTCCATTTTTATGCTTTTTTCCCTCTTTAAATATCTAAAAATAAAAAATTTAGTGCACTTTCTACACTCACTGTGTGTGTGTGCACATTCTTTCTAATATGAACATGAATAGTGCCAAAACAACAGAACGTGGACTGTGAAACTGTCAAAGATGAAAACACAAATAAAAAGCAGCCCAACCTTACCTCCTGTAACAGTCTGAGGGTCTTAATATTATTCCACAAAGGTCTGTGTATCGCTGCTTGTCTGGAATGTAGGAAAACAGAACAGGAAGCGAAGGAGGCGCTCTGCTGGATGGGAGCCAGAGACGGAGAACAAGTTCGCTCTGCCCCTCCCCGTCTCCCACCAGCTTGTTTGCTCTTATGAACGTCCCTTCAAACACTGGTTTGAAAAACAGCAGGCGCATTAAAAGAAGAAGTATTCAGCTGAAGGCTAAAGTGAGCAGCAGAAAGGGTAGGAATGACACAATTTGATGCTTTTTAATAACTGCAGAGCTTCTTAAAAATACAGAGGTATTTGGTGTTAGGCTTGTTTTATAGGAGATGACTGATAGATCGAACAGAGCACAGAACTGTTTTGGCTTAAAACAAATTAAGATGCGGAAGAAACAACCTTAGGCAGGATGGCACAGTAGCCTTTTGCGTCTGACCTGATCACTTCCTTCATGGTAGAATGTGAGTGCACGCTGTTTTAACTTTTAATGGTAACTTTACTTTTGTGGATTGCTGTATAACAGAGGTAGGTTCCACTAGTCACCTTCTAAACTTTGTATTTAATACTGTGGCTGTCCTTTTTATTCATGTAGATTTGAACATGGCAAAACTGAATTAAAATTTGAAATTGATTGAATGTGTCTGTACTGTTGAACTGAGCGTGAACATAGATAAACAGCCAGCCAAACTCAAGAGCCAGGGAGGTGAGCGTACTTACTCCTTTAATGACTTCGAACATAGTGTTGAACTGACATCATTGAACTGGAGTGAAACTAGAAACACATAAAACTAAACTCTTAATGATTGTCATATAATCAGCAGGTAAGTGTATTTAGCCACTAACATAGGAGACTACAAGATAAGCATCCTGTAGATATACAATCTGATATTAATACAAAGAACAATAAGCAGGTAGTGGGCAAGTGTACACTTGTATCATTAGCTCAGAAGCTACGACCTATAACTACTGCACTTCAAGGAAGGTACAAAATAATGTCTCAAACACCCCATTACTAATTGTCTAATATACAAAGAACTGACTGAACTGGCAAACAACTGCATGGTGCGTTACCGCCACCACTGATATGGAGTGTGGACAGGAATCGCGCTCAAAAACAAACAAAACCAACCTACTTCATATCCTTCCAAATTACCTTCTGTCAAAAACTGAAACAGGGCTTGACAGCTTTTATTCCCCAACTCCTTTTGCAATAACTTAATAAGATCTAATTTCAAGTTAATGTTACCGAGACTTTGGACCAGTTGTCTCCTCTCTACCTTATGCTTCCGACACTACAAAATACCATGCTCCAAAGTTTCCTCCTCTCCACAATACTTACATGTCCTTGAATTATGTTTCCCTATAAAGAACAGTGTAGAATTCAATCCTGTATGTCCAAATCTCAGTCTTGACACCACCACCACCTCCTCCTCCTACCTCCTTGTGGCTCTCCTTACTCCCACCTTCCCCTCCTTTCTTCTTCCCACTGTTTCTCCCATCTACCCCTCATTTCTCGCTTAATAACAGTCTTAACTTCCACCTGACCAAAACTCACCGCCAGATCAACTATCCTATAATTAGTAGCTTCCTTTACTAACCCATCCACTGCTTCATTCCCCCTTACCCCATAATGAGCTGGGAACCCATGCAAACACTGACAGACCCATCATGTGTATTCTGAAAAGAGTTTGCTGAATCTCTATTAAAATATCTGATCTACTTTCCGAATGACCGCTCTGTAGACTGACCAAGGCTGCTCTTGAATCTGAACAAATAATTGCTTTCAATGGCCTCAAATCTTCCACCCGCTGAACCGCTAATAGAATTGCTATCATTTCTCCTGTAAACAGATAATCATTAATCCTCTTCCCAAGTTCTACCATAAAGTCCAGAATTACTAGTGCTACCCCCACTTGACTGGCTGGATTCTTTGAAGCACACGTATATACTTGCACATACCCACATTACTGTTCAATGTAACCCTGAACTGAATTCAAGTCGAGACCGCCTGTCCTGTCCTTACTCTTCTGGTGCAATAAAGCAAAACCTACAGCTGCTTCAGAAAGTATCCATGAAGGGATTACAGGCCATGGCACTTGTTGACAGATGTCTAACTGATCCAATTTAAGTTCCTTCTTTCTTCCCCCAACCACCCATCTGTTATGCCGCTCTGCAGCCTCTAATCTCCTCAATGTGTTCAGCTGGTGCTAACTGGCCACACCTAGTCAGGTGTGGATAAAAGCATACCTGAGGTAGGCTTCCCAGAAGCTCACTAGTCTTTGCCTTGGTGGCACCAGCCATTTTAGCCAACCTGCAATGCCATTTTAAGATAAAACCCTCTTCTCACTAACACTGTGGTATTCGTCTCCTTTTCTATGTTGTGGCTTTAGAGCAGGGTCGTAACATAAGGAGACGAATAGCACCAGCTGAACACATTGAGGAGATTAAGAGCTGCAGAGGAGCTGGTTGCGTAACACCTCCTCCCTCAAAAGGGTTCCTCTAGGACCCCTAAATTTTTAAAAAGCCCCTCTGGACCTTGATCCCTCAAACATAAGCTTGAGCCAAAGCATAAACTTAAGCACTTTATTACCAGCTCTAACATAGAACTAAATACTCACATTTCTTTAGCTGGCATTTTTAAACAGGGACACCCCTGCATGAGGATTTTGAAGTTACCACACTGAACACACAAAAAGTAACATGTGACCAACACAAAGGAGCACGACAGTCACACCCAAAATAATTACTTGATCTGCTACAACACAAAACCAAAAGTAGCAACAAATAATCACAACCAACTGATCTGTTGTCTCCACCACACAAATGGTCACATACAAGTGGCCCTATACCACAACAAGTCACTTTAAACTCCAAAGCTCAGTAAAGAAAGCATGCTAGTGACCAACCACAAACAAAGAGCTATGGCCACACAATGATTGCTCAGAAGTGATCTAACCAAAGTAGCCACATGCTCTGCCACAATAAAGGCCACAGCACAAAACACTCACCTTATGAGGATGTCATTAGCATCCATCCACACTGACATCAGATGCACACACAGGATGTACACGCAATGCCAACTTAAGAACAGCCTACCTGCCTCAGCTACAAGACCAGAATTAATGGTCTCAAACCTCCTGCCAAGTTTGGTGCCGCTGATTTACTATGTGCAACTCCCAACCTAAAACGCTAAAAACAATAAAACCCTAACTTTACCTACCTAGTCTTCAGTGGTGTACCACCAAACAACAAATGAAAACAACAACAAAGCAAAACAACAAACAAATGCTGCGATGGAAGGGCAGCACAGCTACACAGCTAAAACACACTTACTAAAGGGACGTTGCTCAATCACAGTGAACACCTTCACTCACCCACTTAAAAGTAAAACAAACTGATTTCAGTCCCAAAAAAATGTCTAAACAATCCCAGACGAGCCCCCACTTATGTTACGACCCTGCTCAAAAGCCGCAACATAAAAAAGGAGACGAATACCAGAGCGTTAGTGAGAAGAGGTTTATCTTAAAATGGCATTGCAGGTTGGCTAAAATGGCTGGTGCCATCAAGGCAAAGAACAGTGAGCTTCTGGGAAGCCTACCTCGGGTATGCTTTTATCCACACTTGACTAGGTGTGGATAATTAGCACCAAACTTCTTTTCCAATTCTCTAGACACCGCTATTGGGCTCAATTGCACTTCCTGATCCTCCTTCCTGAATTTCAAAGTTATCTTAAATTCCTCCCTCACCATCTTCTTCCTCATGACCCTGAACCCTTCATCTGAGCTGTTCTCTTCCAAACTCTGTTTACTGGTCTGCAACCCAACCAAACTTGCCTCCTCTCCCCTGCTTCTCCCTCTTCCTGATCTTCCCCCGCCAGCAACCAGGGTCCATTCACCAAAATCCATTTCATCATCCTCATCTACCAGAGACACCATTCGAGCCAGTCACACACCAGTTTATGCCAACTGCCAAACTCTGTGATCCAAATCCGTAGTCCAAAGTCCAAAAACCAAACAATTCACTCAAACCGTATGGAATGTCCACCTTCAAATTTCCCGCACCTCCCCACCGCTACTCTCTCACAGTTCCTGGGCCGACAGTCAGGTGATGCTGGAATCCTGACCCACTGTCTATGCACATGTCAAGATAAAGGCTTTCCTGTCTATCCGGATGTCAAAATAAAAGCTTCACAAATTTCTGATGTATAACAATAGAAATACAATTTCCACTTATTTGTCTCATTAGCATATGAATATATTTAAAACAGAACGGTATCTATATATGATCTCGGACCTTGTCTGAGGTCTGAGGTTCAATATCAAGACAAATTGCCGTCTTGCTCTTTGCTGAGATGAGACAGCGGGCGTAGCTCCAATGAGGAGCAGGATGTGGCTTTCACTCTTTCAGAAAAACATGGAAAACAAAAATCTTTAAACTAACAGTTAAAGAAAAGTGTGTATGTCTCATTTGCAGGGCAACCGGTGTGGGACTGCACTTTTAGCAGTGATCTCGTCCATCCATCCATTCGCTTCCACTTATCCTTTTCAGGGTCGCTGGAGCCTATCCCAGCTGTAATAGGGCGAGAGGCGGGGTACATCCTGGACAGGTCGCCAGTCTGTCGCAGGGCCAACACACAGGGACAGACAACCATTCACACCTAGTGACAATTTGGATTATCCAATTAACCTATCCCCACAAGCTGCATGTCTTTGGACAGTAGGAGGAAGCCAGAGTACCCAGAGGGAACCCACGCAGACACGGGGAGAACATACAAACTCCACACAGAAAGACGCCGGCCTGATGGTGGAATTGAACTCAGGACCTTCTTGCTGTGCGGCAACAGCGCTAACCACCGTGCCACCTCAGTGATCTCGTGTAGAAAACTATTCCGCGCATATATAAAACAGGTCCGCGGCTCTGAACCATAGTAAAGGGACCTCTGGCTGATACGTCGGGTTCGTGTTGGGCTCGTAGCTGAAAACTAGCTTTACTTTGTTGTCTGGGTCAAGTTTGCTAGTGAGAGACAGAGAGAGGCGTTGAAAGGCTGCTGCAACAGAGCTTATTGTTTCAAAGGAAACCAGGAACACAGTGTACAGTCGAGTCTTAATAGCTTACTTACAGCTGGGCTCGTCAGGCTCTCTTCTTGGCTGCAGTGGTTATTATTATATTTACATGCTTCCAGCTCCCGTTTCTGCTCCATGACAGCTCGAACTTTTCCGCTCTCCGTTTTTTTGCACATGACGGGTATAGGGCTATGCCTGTAACACTCTGCTCATATTGCCTTCATATTAAATAATTTTTTGAATAATAATTTTTTTTAAAATATTTCTTCACGTCATTATGCGGCTGCAAGTAGAGGTGACATGGGCCGTGACAATAAGACACAGGCATTGAGCCTCTTACTGCATTTCGCTTAGGTTTCCACCGGCGTGGAATTACCAAAAATAGAGAGGCCATAGCCTAACATGTGAAACAGGAAAAGACCGTCGTGTAATCCATTTATTTCAACAAAGTAACTTTATTCGGAATACCACCTTTTTAAACGGTAACTGTAACGAAATACAGTTACGCATATTTCATATGTTAAATACGTAACGCTGGTACATGTATTCAATTACTCCCCAACACAGGGGGCAACTGTGGCGATGGCAAAGCGGCACAAAGTGGAGAGACACTTCAGTGCACTTCATGCAAGCCTCCATGCTAACTACCCACCATCATGAGCAAAAAAGTCGACGAATTAAAGGCAGTTTTGGGCAACCAGAAGTCTTTTTTTTTTTTACAAGGCTGGTGAAAAGTCACAAAAAGCAACTGAAGCTTCATTCAGAGCTGCAAAGAGATTTTGGAGGGCACAGTGATAATAATTGCAAACACTCTGTTCAAACACTTGAGAAGAATGGTCCTAATATCAATTACATAAATATGTGTAACTGGGGGCGAGTACAGTGGTGAGAAGAGTGTCAGCTACATCTGAGAACTTGACCAGGATCTGGTTAGTAGTTCAACATCCAGCACGATGAGTCTGTGGACAGCAGCAGTACATCGCGGATGATCATGTCTGTCAAATGGTGTTTGATGATTTCACACTACTGCCCCTAAAGACACAACAGAGGGAGTTGACATCTACATGGAGTGAAGAGGTTCTTCATGGAGAACAAGGTACCATTAAAAAAGCTGGAGTCGGAGACTACTCACGGGGCTCCTACCGTGACATGCTGACATGCAGGCTTCATTGCTCAATGCAATAGTAACACAGACTTGCCAAAATGTCTGCCTAACCACTGCACCATTCACCAGCAGGCGTCCTATTGGAGGAACTTTCAGCTGAGCACGGTGACCTGTTACTACACAGAGAGATCTGATGACTAAGCAGGGGATGGGTGTATGTCATTTTTTGTCACCTTTGGGTGAAATCAAGGAGTTCATGCAGTTCGTGCAGACCAAAGGGAAAGACATCTCAAGGACACTGAGTGGATGCTTGACCTTGCATTTTTAACTGACGTCATTGGGTCCTGATCCATTTGAACTGTCAATCAAAAGGTAAGACAGTTGCTGACATGATAAGTACCATAAATGCATTTGAAGCTCAGAAGAACATTTTTTCCGTACATTTACAGTCCTGCACTTTCCCTCCGTGCAGTCAGTGCTGAATGATAGTGCTTCTTAATGGCAATGCTCCCATTTGGGGCCTCGACCCCAAGGATCGGGTCTGCCTGCACAAACAGCACAGTATAGTGTACACTGGAGGATTGCCAGGATTTATACATCGGGGAAACCAAACAACCTCTGGCGAAGCGGATGGCACAGCACAGAAGAGCCGCCTCGTCAGGCCAGGACTCTGCAGTCTATTCACACCTACAGGCCAGTGGACACTCTTTCAGTGATGAGGATGTAACATCCTGGACAGGGAGGAACGCTGGTTTGAGGGCGGAGTCAAGGAGGCCATTTACGTGAAAAGGGAAAGACCATCTCTGAATTGAGGAGGGGCCTAAGGGTACACCTGTCACCATCTTACAATGCTGTGATTGCAGCCAATCAACTCTCTGTGAATGGGACTCATGGTTATTGATCAGTGGTTGTTGATCAGTGGTTGTTAAGCAACAGTCATGGCAATTTGCATATTAATGATCATGAAACTGTTTCCTCCATTTCTAGGAGTTTGAGAACAGATTTAGTGACTTTGAGGTACATGGAACATGTTTGTTATTTATTTAAATCCTTTGATGCAAGTGGAAATGAACTACAACAAACTAAAATAATATGCAAAAATGTTAAAAATAACAAAAATTCTAAGATGTAATAATTTGTTAAAAATACAATAGATTTGGTGATCAGTACAAATGTTATAAAATTCATTTAAAAATGTGTTCAATATTAAATAACTGATCATTTGTACAAACAAAAGGCTCTTTGCCTCCCTCCAAATGGGGTCTGCACAGCTAACGTAAGTGTCACGGTCTGGCTGGCAGACCGTGGGGATGTGGGGAAAGGAGGACCCAAAACGCAGACTCTGCGATGCAAACAGTGCTCTTTATTTACAGTGAAAAGGCTGTAAATACAATAACTCCCCGTTGCTCCCTCGAACCCCGTGTGCATGCTTCCCTCCGATATCTGTGCTCGTGCTCCCTGCTGTTGTGTTTCCGCACCCCCGTGCGTGCTGCCTCTCCAGACCACTCCTCCTCCTGTAGGGAAACCAGAGGCGCAGCCGTCAACACTAACCCTCGGCGGGCATATACGCACAGCACAGACCTAAGCTAACACACACTGACTTGGTAAGATAACTCAATGATCCCGCGTCGGTGGGAGCTCCAAGACTCTCCTAAGTAGCTCCCCCGACGAGCCCTGATCAGCGGCAGGTGTGTGGCTTCGGGTGTGACCAGTCCCTCCGCAGGGCCACACCCCTCAGGCCTGCAGGTGGCCGAGCTCCATCCTCCAGGCACACCCGCAGACATACACACCCATACCTGGCCTAAACATATGAGTGGGACACAGACTAACACAGCACAGAGAAACACACATATGTACACTCACAGAGAAGGGGAAACGACACCAAAAATACATAATAATAATACACAGGTCCATGACTGCCCAGGGATCCTGGGTCGCCCAGTCCCAGGACCCTGACAGTAAGTGCTAGGAGCTTAAGTTTACCTAAGTCATAATTCTGCTCAGTGGAAGACAAATGATAGGAGAAGAAAGAACATGGGTGGCACTTACCATGTGGGTCACCACACTGGGAAAGGGTTGCCACTGCCCCACAGTCACAAGTGTGTAACTCCACAAACTGTTTGTGTGAGTCAGGTTGGATCAAAATAGGAGAGGAGCTGTCTCAGTTTCATGAAGGCATTGTCTACATCTGCTGTTCATACAAAGCAACAGTGTGAAAACACACTTTTCTGCCTTGACACATGCTGATACAAACTAACCTCACATGCTCACAATACTGCTCCTTGGAGAACATGAGAATATTATCAAGGTATACAAACACAAAAAGACTGTAATACATATTGGCCTGGAAGACTGCAGAAGCATTCGATATCTTAAAAACCTTAATCAGGGATCCAACGCTTACAGTGCCAGAATGAATGGAAGAATAGACAAGGTCAGGGCTAGTTCTTGTCTTTAGCATGTTCACAGAGTTCATGATCAATTCTTAATCTCAGTGAAATGGTCTTGACGCATCCTCAATCATCCAGGTAAGGAAATCCTAAAAAAGTTGATTCTGTGAAATAGTTCCTCAGGCCTCAGGCTCATCCCTTTGAACAAGTCACCAAAGAGTGGGCTGGTTTGCAAATTCCAGATACAAACAGTGGTAGAGAGTGGGCAGGCAGGTACGTTACTGCATTGTCCTTCTCTTTACCGATTGAGAATTCTAGATGTGGTTTCAGAGGAAAGCTGCAAACCCTTTGGACAGACTCAGAGACAGGCTCTTAGGACAAGAGAGGAGAAGAACGAACACAAAACCCCAAACCTGACAACCAAACCATAACATGCTTGAATAAATTGACACATTCGATTCTTGCTTTCGTTTCCTATCAGCAATGATCATCAAAATTACATACAAATGAACTTCTTCATATCATTCAAATGTCTTGAGATCCACTAGTACAGAGCCAAAGGTGACGGCTCACTGGAACACAGACAGACTGTAGCTTCTAATATCTTAATACTTGCCCATTTTCATGCATTGTGCAGCCTCAAAGTCGAAACCAGTGTTCCTGTCTTAAGTCTGTAATAGTCACAGAGGACAGGTAGTTCTTCACAATGTTAGTACTTATAGTAACTGCAGGTAAGGCTTTGATTTCTGGATCTTTTATAGCATCTTGCAGTGTTCATGAACCCGATGCTAAATGCAACTATGCTACATCTCTGTGCTTGCATTTTATAACAGCATGTACACAGTTTTAAAAATGATGGTGAGTCATTGTTTTGCCTTTTTTCCAGGAGATGGTAGTAAAGAGAAAATATCTGCTATCTACACACTTTGTTGGGATATAATTAAATGGAACATAGACTACTAAAAGTCTGCATATGTGATGTAGGAAAGTTCTGCAGCTCCCCCAATGTTCCCTGCACAATTCTGCAGAGCATGTGATTTGATTTGAGAGATGAGTGCAGTGGGTGCTTTGCTGCTCATTGCAGGTGATGGCAGTGTCAGTCTCCAGGGATCTCACAGTGCGGGTGCTGGCAGACCCGAATACTCTCAAGCTTGCTGAGAGACAACAGGCACTGAAGAATGCCATCCAGAAAGGAGAACCCAAATGTCTGGGGGTGAGTTTTGACCTCTGTGTGTTTGTATATGTGTGGATACAGAACGTCTGTGTTTTGATTTCTTTTTCCCTCCCCATGCATTTATATGCCACTTCTACATGTCATTAGCTTTTGTCCTTTCCACTCCATAGTGTGTATTTTGTCCTTGCCTACCTTTGCAATCCTTTTGGTTCATTACTCCACAGCCAGTCTTGGCCGATGGCTGCCCCCCCATTGGTCAAGTTCTGGTGGCGGTTGCATCCTATTAAAAGGGAATCCTTTCTTTACATCTTCGCTAAGTGCTTGTTCACAGCGGTCATCTGATTGTTAGAGATGTCTCTGCAATGCTGTGGGGTCTTTACATTGCAATATGAAGCACCTTAATTCAGTTGTCTTTGTTATTACTGGTGTACAAATGGAATTGAATGGAATTACCACCTCCATGTTTCACATGGATGAGGATGCAGCATGTTCCTGTATCATAACTTCTGTCAGAGAGCTGTTTGATAGTAATCTGTGTGTGTGTGTGTGTGTGTGTGTGTGTGTGTGTGTGTGTGTGTGTGTGTGTGTGTGTGTGTGTGCGCACATCCCAGGTTAGTCAGGTGATGCTAGGACTGATGGTCATGTCCTACTCCATTCCTCTGCTCTTCACTGAGTTCACAGAGGTGGTCACCCTGGGAGTTCCTTGGTGGAGCGGCCTGATGGTGAGTTTGTCTGTGTGTGTGTGTGTGTGTGTGTGTGTGTGTGTGTGTGTGTG